TTACTCTGCGCTTCACGCAAATTATCCGAGTGTATTAGATTGTACCACGACAAACCTTGTATCTCATTTCTGCTGTAATTTAAATGAAATTCACCGCTGAAATCAAACAATTGAAGGAAAAAATTAAATTATATGCACTTTTAGATCGAAATTATATTTTCAATTATATTTATTTAAAAATAAATTTAATTCGACTTACTTTTTGTCAATATGCGCTATTTTCATATCCATTGAATGAATTGTAGTAAAAACGTTTGTTGCGCCCTGAACCACACATTCGCGTGTCTCCGGCATTGCAATGGGCGTGCATGTGGCCAAAAATACGGGCTCATTCCGGCTACAAAGCGGTAAAAATGACAAGTAATGACCCTGAACTAGCACAACCTGAAATAAAAATAACGTAATACAATATTAAAATAAAAATATTAAAAAACTGATATAATAATGGAAAGGAAACTTGAAGAAACACAAAAAAGAACTATTAGTAAGAAAATTTGTTACACATAAAACTGTTAAATGTTTGTTCCAATTGCTAATAAACATATTCATGGGCATAGTCATGTTCGCTACCCACCGCTCAAGTGAACGTGCTGAGTTATGGATTTAGTTCTGCTGCGATAAACCCATGTCATATCAATACGAAAAAAAAATCAATGAAATAAAAAAAGGAATATGGATTGTTGTTTTTTGCAAAAAATTTTAATATCAGTTTCAAAAATTTAAAAGTCGTGGAACTGCTTTGATTGTTTGTTAGTATATTGTTTTAGTTTTTTGTAACGCATTTTTTTTTCTACATGCGAGTTAACATTTTTTTGTATAGATTATATATATTTCAAAAAATTTACTTAATATCAGGCTTATAATAACAGGTGATCAATTAAGAGTTTCTTTTATTTTTTTTTCTCAATAAATTGATTGCGTCTAGAGATATAAGTCAGATTGCAAAATACATCCAATTATATTTTCAGACTATGAACCACATCAAGTCCTTAAATTTTGATGTAAACGTATTTTATGCTGAGTTTTTTATTTACAAACATGACAATTGTGCTTATTTATGAAAATGATTCTAATTAGTGATGAATCCTTTCAAATATTAGTTTTCAAATGAAAACCAAATATTTTGATTAATATTATTATAAATATTGAAATAAATAAATATTTGTTTTATAACAATTTATCTTTTCCCATCTCTACCAGAGCACACAAGGTGTAGAGCTATGCACTTCCGTATAGGTGTTTTAAGGTTTACAGAGATGTGCCTAAAATCAAAACAGATATGTATTCTTAGAGAAAAATTATTTTTCCGACTGGTTGATTATTTTATTATGCTTGAGTCAGAAGTTGCTACTATTCATCTCGCAAGGAAATTATTTCATCGCTGTGAAATATTTGGTATGAATATTTACATATTTGGGACAGTCATTATGTCCTCAGCTAGTATTTTTTTAATTTCTAAGTTTATGTAGGTTTATCGCAGGGTTAAAGGTTCAGTTGGTAACTATAGGCGTAATGAGTTACCTAGAAGTGGCCCAAGACTCTTTTTAAAATCAATTATACCAGATGTAGACATGCTTTGATTTCGGCTAAGCTGACTATACACATAGAATGCTTTGAAGAAGGTGGCCCAAATACAATACAAAAAATACCTAGGTTAAGGCAGAATATGACATGCGTCTGTTTTGCAGCAATTGATGTTGTACTTTTAAGTCAGTGGAGGTTATTTCAGAATCAATACCTCCAAATAAAATCAATACTTATTTTAAATTATGATTCCTTTTGAGAAAGTTAAAGAAAATATATATAAAATATTAATGTGCGGGAACGTTTATTTAAAGTTGGTTTATTTACAAACATTCGAAACAAATATTATTCGAATATATTTTTCACGTTCTAAATATTGTTTTCCTAAATATATCTAAATGCTAAATTTTAAGAATCATGTTAAGCTTTGTGAAGGGGCATTATTTATCCATAAAAAAAACTACAACATAAATTAAATAAAGTACAAATTTATTTACACAATTATAAATATCAATGGTGCATATAAGATTTTGAATCACATTATACTAGATATTATTCATTGTTTTCAATTAAATTTTTGTATATATCTCAAAAAAAGTTTAAAAATCCTTTCTTAAATGAGTTCCTGCATATGTCTTTGATAGATGAGTATCAATTTATCAATTAATGAATAAATTTTTTTAATTACTTATAACATATGTTAAAATAAATAAAAATAAAAAGCGTAAAATAAAATACTAAAATAAATAAAATAAAAAACAGAATGTAAGAGTTCTTTGTGCGTTAAAAAGAAAAAGGCTCAGAATAATAATTATTTTTAAAAAATATAATGTAAAGAAAATTTAATTATTTTGAAACTGTTTGGAATCTTGAACAATATCTCTTAAAATTAGCTTATCAATACTAAATGATAACACAAATTGTTTATTTTTTTTTGCTACATAAATACGCCTTGGACGTTAAGGAGTGAGAATAGATCAACATTATGCTCTAAGGACTTATCATTTTATAAATTTATATAAGTGCATATTGGAGTAAGTCAAACTCAGATATTTAAATTGTAGACATGCAGACAGATAAGATACTATTTTCTGCATAAGAAAAATAACTAAATCTTCTAATAATCAATAAACCTAGTATTGACATTGATGCAACCAATTTTATGGACCATAAAATGCAGAAAAAAAATTGAAACAACACAAAAATTCACTTTGTAATATATATCGTCTAAATCAGGACCAAAATCTCAGTATTTTAAAAATCTTTAGCAAAGCACGGAACATAAAATTGTAATAATAATAGTTATTCAATATTTTGCAATTATTATTATTTTTTTATTTTTACAGAATGACATCTTCTTTGAATCATTTGAAACAATTACAATACTGACTTGTGAGTAGTTGTGGTTTAATATGATTTTAATGTCTTATAAATCAGTGAAATAATAATTATTTTTACTAATGAAATAATTAATAGCATGTATACATACATATATGGTAATAAATATATATATTTATGTATATATATATAGCAATACCGAAGTGAGTCAAATTAATTGCTGGTTGCAGCCTCATTGATGCTAGCAATATTATTTAAGTGATATAATTTCAAAATTCCATTAAATGATTAATAAATTATTTTAGTCATAATATATACAATTGTTTTAAATTTATGCGTGCAATTACACAATTTGACTTTAAATTATGAGCGCACTTTCAGAAATATCTTATAATACTCTATGCATTTGGTTAAAGTATATTAATTCAACAATGCACACTTAAGGTTTGCAAACGAAAACTTGTTAATAAATAAAAATATTTGTTAACTCTGACAAATATGCAAAGGTATTTTCCCACATTAAAATCGATTTTGTCTATACGAACATTTGCAAAATATTTGCATTAAAAAACGCGCATTGAGATACATAATGTGAGATCTTTACTTGCAGTTTTAAAATACCATTTTGGGCTATTCAATTTCTCAAAAATATGTAACAATCTTTCATGCTTTTGTTGCTTATTAAGATCTCACAAACTCTAAAAGGGCTTTGGGCGCATTCAAACAAAACCCTTAGGCGACCCACAAAACTGGCTGTGCGGCCTCACGAAATGCAAAAAATAATTGTCCATTATCCAATTAAGATTTGTATGTGTGTGTTCGTATGTTAGTATACAAGGGAGCATACAGTAAAAAAAATAAACTACGTACTTATGGAGGAGTGTAATTGTGTAGACTGCCCAATGTGGGCATCGTATGCCACTTACCAGTAAAGCACCAAAAATGTCTAAAAAAGATACACTTACACATATTTTAAATGCAAATGCCATGCGACTGCCATGGATTGCTTCTACACTTATAAATACAAAATATTTAAGTCTAGAGTTTGGCGCCATTTGTATTGTGGCTTATACGAAATTCCAAAATTTTACTTTTTTCATTATTTTTTTTTTTGTTTTTGGAGTAAAGATACTCATCCATATTTATTTCAGGCACAGTGCATTAAGGTGACCTAAATGCTCCAGAAGTGGAGTGCTACATGTTGGTATTTTGTACACATTTACTTATGAGTACGTATGTATGTATAATGTTTATAAAAAGGTTTAGGGTCAGTCATGTTCTTGCTACTTTGAGCTCTATTTTTTGTGAGAGTAGGAGTGCATTATTGCTTAGTATGCACAGCGCTGGTTTAATTTATTCTACATATACAATTTTGAATTGACTTGGAATTGCGTACGGTGCAGCAGGTTCCTATGACTAACGATATAATTTGGTTCAAATGCCATTTATGTTCACCATTTTTGCTCTAAGCAGTTGTGACTGAAACACTTTCAATGCACAATTGCAGCCATAAAACATTTTCACGTTTGTGTGTTGTTTCAATTAACACTCCACACGGCGTTCGCGAAATGCCACTTTAAATGCGTTAACCATTCAGCAAATAACACAGCAGCAAGCCACAGAAGTGCATAAAAATAATGATATATTATTAAGAAAAAATATAAAAAAAATAAACTTTATAAGACAAATCTATTTTCATTCATCTTAAAGCCTGCACATATGCACACGATCTACACACGATCTAAATAGAAGCAGACACACATCAAAGATTGCAGTACGCCTTCGTACACTTGTAAAAAATTGAGGTGGGTGTCAAAATAATTGGGTGAAAATGTTGGTGACAAAACTGTTTGGGCACAAAAAATGTAAAATACTTGTGGTTGCCGCTTTTTAATAAAAAAATTTTTCATTTATAAATCTTGATAATATCTGACCTTAAAGGAAATCGCCACTCTAATCGGCGGAGTTAACATTGTGCTAGTGTTTATAACATGCAGTATAACAATTATATGCAATGATATATATGTACATATACATCTTATTTTATTTCAGATTTTACACTTTTTTATTCTATTGACTTTAATTTTATTTTAACATTGAAAATTATCATGTAGAAGTTTCTTACATACATTTTTTCTTATGTATATTCTGCGGTTTTAGTACAGTTAGCTTGTATTTTGTTGTCTATATGTTTTTCTTCAATTTGATTTTTGAAAAATTATTCATTTGAGAGGAGTATCTGTTAGGAAAGATTTCACTGTAAAGCTTGCTTTATTTTTATTATATATAGTCAATCTTTATGTATAGCTTAATTCTTGTGTCCAAGTTCATTAATAAATTCTTCAAAAAATTAATCAAATTTTTCGGTTTTGTATTGATTCTGGTAGACTTTACTTTGTTTTAATATATATGAGCTTATTAATTTGTTAAAAATTCATTTTAACAGAACATTTAATATACTGATAAGTAATTAATATTGTTTGTTATTGTATATTGTGTTGCCTCATATTAGTCTTTAATTTTATAAATTATTAAATAAAAAATTTCATTTTCAGCGTGACATTTTTATTGTATGACCTATTTGCTTTAAGGATTTTGATTGTTTTTTACTGATAAATTAAAATAAATAAAATGACAAAATATTTTATTTATTTTAATTTATTTTAATCCATATACATAGTTTATTTTATTTTACTTTCGTTTTGTATAACAGTAGAAACTTTATTATTGTCAGCCTATTTTTGTTTGTTCATGAGCGGCAATCGAGTAAAGCAGGCTAACTTCTTCCAAATAATGGTCAAAAGTAATTGGTTATAGAAAAAATGTTCTTCTTAGAATAGTGTTTCTTTACTTGGGGTATTAGTAAAAAGAACTTTGATAATAATTTATATAAATTTACTTTGATTTTCATTATATTTATTTAGTAATGGTAACGTAATCTAGCTAGACACATATCCATTAGAAAATCTACTAAAATTAACATATAATTTTTTATTATTATGTATTATAATTTAAATATGTCGGTCATTATACATCAATGAGTTGTGTTCTGTACTAAAATTTATCCCTTTTTTAGCATTTTCCTTGACTTTTATTTTACTGAGTTACTTTGGTTACTCCATGTGTACTGTATATGTTTATAAAGTAGTTACACATTATTAAAAATCTCTAATATCGTTTTCAAAAACTATCAAAAACGTATCAAAAACTATATTATCCATTTTATTAGAAGCTATTTTGTTAAATCTGGGGTACTGTATATGTTTATAAAGTAGTTACACATTATCAAAAATCTCTAATATCGTTTTCAAAAACTATCAAAAACGTATCAAAAACTATATTATCCAATTTATTAGAAGCTATTTTGTTAAATCTGGGGTTACAGCATTATCCCGAAATATTTTCAATGGGATAATAAAGTTCCAAGTATTGTGATATAAAATTTTTGAATTGGTTTTAATTAAAACAATTATATTTTAATTTGTAATAAAAATATTAAAAAATTATTTTAAATATTATTTATAAAACTACACTTTTTTCTGTAATAAATACTGTAGTAATTCTGTTCATATTATTCGGGTATTTTAAAAACTAAAGTTATTCGATAATTCGATTAACCGGGTAGCAACGAAGTCTTTGGAGTTAAAAAAAAAGATTTTTTGTTAATCCCCGGAGTCTTTAAAAATCCGGATTTGCGATTATTATGCGCAGTGAAATTATTCAGAGACTCCGTGTGAAAATGTAGATGAGAGAGCACCAAATGCAAATTAAGCTGCATCACACAAATAAATCCATTTTTAATAGCGATTAAAAATTGTTATTGTTTGTACGAATTTGTGTTTGGTATAGAAACACAAAGAAAATTATATGTGTGATATAAATTAAAATTATATGATGTATGATATTAATTAAAATTTGAAATATAATCTAAAATATATAAATATGTTTATGTAAAAGTTAAGTGTATAAATAACATTGAAATATTTGTTTGTGCCTAATATATACATATATTACTCAAAATATTATATTTAAACAATATATTAATAACATTTATAATATACATTAAAGAACCATTACTTTTAAGTATTATGTATTTGAATTCAAGTGTGAAAAGATTTTTTTTAACTTAATTTAAATTTATTTGGAGTTTGTTGGAAGACCATTACTTTAATCAACAAAGTTAAAAGATATACTTTTTAATTCTAAATTAGGTTCATTAAAAATTTAACTAAAGTTATTTTATTTAACAATTGTTATTGTGTAGTTCATTCACAAATATAAGATTTTGTTCATCTTTATCAAATCCATCGTTAAGTATGTTGCTTAAGTCTTTTATTTGAATTAATTTTTCATGCTTTACCTTATAGTTGTTACAGAATATAGGATTCATATTATATATTATCATTATTATATATATATCATGATATTATATGATACTAGGTATTTTGTGTATGTTATATATGCATATATATTATATATGAATATTTCATATATAATGTATATATATTAAAGTGCTGCATCAAAACATTCGTTTTTGCGGTCATTCGTTTTATTTTCAAATGTGTACCATATTTACAAATTATTTCTAAAGCGAATACGAACGAATAACAGAAACGGTCCGATAGAATTCGTTTCAATGGAATGGGGGTTGATTTGTTCTCTATAATCGTTTGTTTTGAATTTTAAAATCAAATAAACAAATATTTTAGAGTATTTCAATCACTTTTAGAGTATTTCAATCACTTTTAGAGTATTTCAAATAATTCTATTTTTGCAAAGTATTTTGTGTGCGTTTGGTTGCCTGCGCAAAAGTAAAGAAAGTTGGATGTGCGTAGAGATTTGCAATAATTGCAACAACAAAGTACGTAAATTAGGTTTAATTTTCTATTATTTTCAATGGAAAAGTTGTTTAAACAGGTAGATCTAATGCAAAAGGTTAACTTAAAAAAACAGTTTGCGCAGAATTTCCTTCTTTGTCGATAGTTTTTTATGATGTAACAAAATAAATTGCTTCACATATTTACCTTTTCCTGGAAAATAATTTTATGCATGATATGGTAAAAATATCTATTTATGACAAGAGAGATTTTTAGAAATTTCTTAAGAATTCCTTCAGAATTCCTACTTTACAAAGTTTCTTGTAAATTATTTGCAACACCAGCAAGTAGTGCATCTTCGGAAAGGGTTTTTTCAGTTGCTCGGAACTTAATATCAGAAAAAAGAACATTGATTTCATCTAATCAAAGATCTATCAATCAAATCATGTTTTACACAAAAATCTTGAAAAAGAGGAATTAAGTCAGACGATGCTCAACATTTAATTTGCATATTAAATTAAATTTGTGAACTGTAAAAACTGTAAAAAACTTATTATAATTTTTTTAAATAAATTTTTGTTCAAAATTTTTTTTATATTTAATTAATATATTAAGTCATATTATATATGTAATCAACAAATTACTATTATCAACATTTTAAATAATATTTAATTAATAAAAAAACTTAAATAAATAAATTTGTGTCTTACTATTTAAAAACACATAATTTTTGTATGAACTGAAAATCAAATGCTTAGAGTACTCCCAACTACTTCAACTACTTTTAGAATGTTTAGAGTTAGAGTACTCTAAACAAACGAAACAAATATTTATTCCATTCCATTTTGTTTTTATGCCTATACATTCGTATTTGTTCGTTGAGAGTGAGCGTATGCTACCATTCTAAACACAATAGAATGCTTTGAAACTGAAATCAAATGCGCGCGTGCAGTACTCTAATATATATTATAAAATAGCTCCACTATTGAATTCAATTTTGACTTTTTATAAAAAACGATACTGTATAAAAATTTTTCTTTTATTGCAAAAATAACAAAATATTCTTTACTACGTTTTGCTTGCTTCAACATTTTCATAGGTTTAATTTGATTGTGTTTACCCATAAAAGATTCTAACGGTTAAGTTAATGACTTAATTTAAAGTAACTCAAGGATAGATAGATTCTGAAACACGAATTTACGCAGTCTAGAAATTTCAGAAGTTCGCAATAAGATTGCCAGTTGGTTTTATTGCACTTACGTAGTTCATTGTTATATTTTTTAGTGGGTAATTTTTACTATTTTCGACTAAAAAAAGTATAGTACAATCTGCAATTGTTCTGATTCTATTGGTGTGTAATTCGGGCGTAATGCAACTGGAAGTATTAAATAAAATTATTGTCGTATGATTTCTTTTATTGTAATTTACCCTTGGTACACTCCATGACGATGCTTCGGTTATGGGAAAGGACCAAAAAGAATAAAAAGGAATATAATAAAAAAGATCATTACGTTCGATAAGTAATTTTTTTTAGTCTTTTGGATCCACTAGAGCAGGACTGTCTAATTCACGACCTACAGGCACAACAACAATATCCTAAAATCTATGCTACATACAGTAGATTTTTGTATTAATGAGTACCCAAAAGCCCTATATTTGAAAGCTAGAAACATAACAAATCTGTTTTCTTGAAATAACTAAAGGTGTTGACATTATGCTTGGTTATACTGAGAGTATGGTATATATTTAATCTGTAAATTGGATTTCTTTTCATCAAATGATTGGCCTCCCACATTTTATCAACCATGTAAAAGAGTGTCATTAACCATTGTAGTTCCAACTACTGCCATGACAGACCGAGAACAACTTTATTAAAGTGTGACACTATCGCGCCATCGAATTTTTGACATTTCTTCAAAGAAGGAAATCATAAAATGTGCACTGTAAACATCGCCAACAGCATGTGGCCAATTCCAGTCAAACAAACACACAAGGCGTCCAACAATGCAAACAACTGTCATCGTTTGTCAGTTTATAAATCACTGGCAACATTTTCTCAAGTGAATTTCAACTTAAATGCTTCATGCATAATTCATACATTTTGCTGTTATTATTGTTGTTGTTGCTGTAGGTTCTTGTTGCAACACACGCAACGTTCTGCTTATTGCTTGCTGATGTTTGGTGTGATTCATCCATCAATTTTGTTTTGTTTATATTTTTTTCTTGCTTAAACACTGACAGTTTAACACTCGCACTTATGCACTTATTCACTTACCTTTTGATCTCCAAATCGCATTTGTCTACGCGCATTACGGCTGACATTCATGCGACACAGGAACATGCGATGTTCACCCTCGAGGCTTGTCATTGCGGCCGCTGCTGCCGCCGCTGCAGCTGATGTAGCCGATGATGAGGAGGAACTTGTGTGCTGTCCCGGTTGCGGTGGTACGTTGCGATTAAGTTCGGCTTGTATTGCTGCATGATCCTGTTTGTCAATGATATCGTAAACAGAATCGCCATGAATGAGCAAATCTTCCTGTGAATGCGCATGTGAATGAAAGAATAAAAAGAAAAATACATAAATTAAATAAATTAATTTATTGATTTAGTAATTAATTTAAAAGTAGAGTAAATGTTAATAAGTCCGTGTATTAAGGAAAAGTTATATGAAAACAGCGGCCACCGGTTTTAGTATATTTCATGTTAATTTTAATTTGCTTATGATAAATTCAATTAATAACAACAAACATAAAAAATTTATTTTATGAGGTACATTATCATTATCTAAGATGAATTATTAAAAAGAACTAGTGTTTCTAAAGATCAAAAGCTTTGCAACTTTATTAGCTCTTTTGTACTGGGGATCAATCCATAACTAACTAAATGCCTTTTTGCGTCTGAACGTCTGAATATATGGTATTTTGTCGAGGAGTATCTAATGAGGCACAAGTAGCAAATAAAAAAATAAAACCTTGGAAAACTCAGAAATAAAAAGATTTTCTATAAATATATAATAGTAAATACTTAATAGTAGGATGTAAGTATATGTTTGTTGCAATAAAAATAAAATGGTCAAATATTTTTGTAAAAGACATTTTTTATAAAATAATATATAATATTCTACTTTGGTGAATAGTTGTTACATATAAATTGTTACCATTTACTTGCTGCATATTATTTTTACCTACAATATATATAGAATTTATGACGTTAAGTCCATTTTTGTCATATTTAAACACTAGCTTAGGTCACATATAGACCTTTTCAGTTCTCCGCGATATCAAATGCAGTTAGATATCTTTTTGGAAATGTAATAGGCGTCATGTAGAATGACAACTCTTTTTGTGAAACTATTGAGTGCTAGAGGTCCTACTTCGTTTACCAACTTCCCAAATAGATATGCAGCTCATATCTATTTTAGAGATGTTTACCTATGTTATTTATTTGGTGTTTGAGTGACATTCGTAGAATTTTTGTACGTGTATTACTGAAGAATTTTTTTGAGTGATAAGGCTCACTTTATGTTTAGTAAATATGTTAGGAGACAAAATTGTCGCATCTGAGTCAATGTAATTACACAGATAACTCTTTAAAAACCATAGCATCAACAAAAAATAGCTTTGTGGTGTGGTATTTAGTGGCAGACTCGTACGTTTTTAAAAATGAGCAAGGTGTAACACAAATCGCTTATCCTGATGGCTTATGCTACATGACTACTAATTTTTTTGACGTAAAAATAATGACATAGAAGCGCAAAACATATAGTTTAATATGACAGTTCTACAAACCAACATGTTTTTTATTTTTGGGCACATAATTTTCCCAAACATGTAATATTAACTTTTGGTATAGTGTCACTACAAGACCTTTTTTGTACGGTTAAACAGAGGCTTGTATTAATGCGAACAATCCTCAAAATCTTCAAGTTTTGTAAAGAAATGTTTGTCAAATCGATTAGTCATCGATAATAATCTCAAAAGCATCTAGTACTGCAAGATGTTTCACATGTGATATTTGAATGACGTATTTCTGATATGATGGTAATGTTCAAACACTAAATTTAAGTAAAAATTCGTATTTTACTTTAATGTATATTAATGATATTATTTATTAAAACACGATATAGTTAACACTATATAAAGTACTATAGTACTCATTCTTAACTGGATTGTTTAACAGTAATGACACCTCAAGAAAAAAAGGTTATTTTAATGTATATATATAATATATAATTTTGAATAGAATAGATTATTAATAAAGGAAATGGTTTTTAGTGAAGCAAAGTACAATAACGTTAGTATATCTTTGTACTCTAACTAACTTTAACTCTAGAAAATATTCGGCACTTCGATAGATATATAAAATGATTTTCGTTAAGACGTTTATAATCACGGACTAGATTAAGAGCTTTCCTCTCAGTACAAAATATAGGTAGTAACCAATAAGGGGACTCAAAACAACTCAAATTAATATACCTATAATTGCATTTATATATTAGTTTTAATAAATAGTTATTATATTCTGCTAAAATTGCCCTTGAAATATTTCTGAGTGTAATAATTGTGTTTATCAAACGATTTACTGAAATGTTCCTTTCAATCGCGATCATGTTAAGGTTTAAATAAATTTATTATTCTTATTAAATTGCTATCGGCAAAATCTCTATAATTTTTCTTTATTTGCTGTAGATACGAGTACATATCCAAATCAACATTTTGCTACACTTGTTTTGCAGCTGGAAGCAAATTATTCATGCTCTATATTGAGATTGTAAAGTTTATGACAATGGACAAAACAAGTTGTAAACATGGTAAATGGCCTTTTAGATTTTTATTAAGATATTTATAGGGTTGGTAAAGTAATAGTTGCAGATTTGTTTGATAGTTATAGTCATTTATAAGTTTGTATATAAGTTTAGTACTCATAGTTTTGTATGGTTTGCTTAAATTATTTGATTTAAAAATTAATTTATTTCATAAAGAACAAAATAAAAAAAAATGAAAACCTTTTTATATATTATAGTATATATTTAAATTTTGTAAATTTTATTTTAGTTGAATCAATGTTACGTTTTGAAATGACTAAATGCTTGATTATATACAAAATATATTTTTACAATTGACGGTAATATCCTATATAGCGCAATAACCATATATAATCATATTACTTGTAATATTTATAGAAAATCTCAATATTTGGTACTATATCTAAATAATTTGTTTCACATTAATGTTTCAAATTTAAATATTATTTGTTTGCTATACCGATGCTTATCCCTCATTGAGATAAGTGATGAAAACAACACAAATCTTATTGATGTTCTGGATCACATTGATGCAGTGAGAAGTTGTAGAGATAGTGAAGTGGACAAACACGGTATAAGTTTTTTGGAAAATACAACCGTATTTAAGTTGAGACTCCTTATAAATCTTGATTTAATCCTTGATAAATGCTATTTCAAGCATTAAACAATTCAAAATGCAGAGAGTAACTACCAACCAACTAAAGTTACCTTAGTTATTTTACATAAGAGCAAATGCTTTCCTAAATTTAACAAAAGATGTGTTATGTGCATAATAAAGATTTTTACTGTAGCTTTTAGAATGATATCGATTTCTATTTTGTGAAATTATGAGTACGAATTTATGACAACTGACTTAACAATACATAAAAGCTTTGTAGTTAAAACCATATGGTTCACAGAACTAAACGAATAATTATCAATATTCGTGACAATAATTAAATAATAATAACAAAGTATAGATGTTCCATAGAAGCACGACACAGGCAAAAAAATTGAAAGGATATGAATCATACACAAATCATTCTATACCTGGTATACTATAGATTTCAATATACATTTGCTATTAAAGCAATGCAGTATTTTTAATAGTCAGTATGAATATGCATAGTAGCATTATGGTATATAGGACGTGTGCGAGTTAGGCTAAGTTCCGTTCTAAATGAGGAAAATTCTAAGTTGTGCCGATTATGTAGTGATGTGTCGATACGTGTTGATAAATGTGCAGTGTGCAGTGCAAGTTTGCAGTGCAAAAAATCCCAAAAAATCCCCCATTTGGTTTAGCATCAAATTAGCCTAACTCGCACACGTCCATAATACTGCTTTATTACAGTACTTTTGTACAACAAGATATAAATATAAGCATGATTTAGATCAGCGCTGTTCAGACCAAATACGATAACGAGCAAAGTACTGCACTGCATAGATTGGAGGGCTGTAGAAACAAATACATACGTTTATTATTTCTTTGCGAAAAATAAAAATATGACGATAATGTTAAATTTAGTTCTATCAATTCTATCAATATACACATTATTCATTGTAAATTTGTGAATTATCAGTCAGTAAAGATTTACATTTTGATTTTATAAAATTCGTAGTTGCAAACGTATTTTCACAGAGATAGATACTGTTTATCATTGAACTCATTTTTAAACCAAAGTTCCTTAGTTTTGGAAAACGGTCGCCAAGGAGTTTAAAAAATTCAGTTCCAGATTCTATTCTGCCCTTGAAAAAGAGGTCCGATTTTAGGTTCATATTTCCAACTGGTCTTTACATCAGTCTTTATATTTTCAATTGCAATCGTTAATGCATTTGAAAAAAAGGATATCTCGCTCTTTGATTCCTTAAAATTTGTGAAACAATGCTTAATTTCAACAATTATTTAATTAACGTAGTTCAGGTGATTATAAAAATTGAATCCTATAAAATTTTTTATCTTTGTGTTATGTTTTTTGCAACACAGACAAAATGAAAACTTGTGCTCCTCTACTGATGTTTTATATAAGTAATATTAGTTTATTTCTAAATCTTTTTACCTTGTAACTTCAAATTTAATTTGTTTTAGTCCTTGTCATATCAGTTAAAAATGTGAGATCACTCTGGAAATGAGGATATGGTATTTTATTTTCCAGTTCGGAAAAATGAAATCTGATTTTATTTCGTAAAAATAAAGGTATTTCGGGAATTCTCTGAATAATAGTGAGTTACAGGAAATTAACCATACGAAATTGCCATACGAAGAAATATTTTATTTTTAATATGATGACTTACGGAATATGAGTTGTTTAAACCAGTTGAACAAAGAATAATGCTGAAGTTTTTATCAATTGAGTAAATAAATGTGAAGTGTAATAAATTATTTAAAACATTTAATTCAATTATTTGGGACAGCATAAAAATAATGAAATTTTATCAAAATATACATAATTGTGGTGAATTAGGATTATGTCGCGGGAATCATTGATTAGCAGTAATAGTACTGCTTCAAACTCTTATGTTCTTTGTTTGTAGTTGTAACCAACACGTATGTCATTATTGAGAGCAATAATGGCAACCATAGAAAGGTTTGATTGATAGTTGTTGCGCAGTGTCAGCAAAAGGAAGACGAATTAAATTAATTTTGTGTTACCAAAAGTCTGTTTCAGTTTAAAATTATTTATGAATGTGTTTAAATTAAAAGTATTACAAGTTTACAATAAAAACAAAATTTTGAATTCTTAAATATTAATTAA